AGGAATGAAGGAGGAGATTGCAAGCAAACCATGGTGGGCGTACATCCCAGCATCTCCAGTATCTCTGACAACATTCTGTCTGTCTGCATTTTGCCAGAGACTGGTAGGGAAAAGATAAGCTGAAGGCTGAGAAAGTACTAGAGTCTAGATCTTCTGCTGATGCGTGCCTGTTCACATCAGCTGTGGAGCTAGCAGTTGTCCCCCAAAAAAAGTATGTGCATGTAGATCCAGAAAAAAAGCCACAGAGCTTCGGAATGAACTGGCTATCACAGACTTATGAAACCTCTCAGGGAAAATAAGGGGTCTGCACTAATAATTGCCACTAATGGGATGTCTTCCTGCTTTTAGGTCTTGAGAGTTAGCACAGAAGTCTTTAACCAAAATGCCTGTGTTATCACTGATACATTTTTTGTTGTTAAATATCTGGTCACTTAGACAATGTTGTCAAGCTGTATGGAATTCAGTACATTTATTAATAGTTTCTGTTCTACAGTGGAGCATTGTAATACCTGTAGTGTTTATATCTAGGGCTTTGCAGTGTTCTTCATCCAGGATCACTCTCCCTGTTTTATAAAGAAGTCAAGTAGTTAGAAAAAAGTCACGGTGACCTGGTCAAGATAATACTGCAAGCCACTGCAGTATTGGTTTGATAAATGCCAGGGATCCTGTGTCCTAGGAGAGCACTTATCCTGCTTGGCCGAACACTTGATGTCCTTAGGAGGGGATGCCTCAGAGAGAGCAAATGACAGGTGCAGTATCTCCACCAGGAAAAGAAGGCCTTCCTGCTTCAGTCAGTGCATGAAAATTTCCCATTTTTAAATTTGAGTTAAAACTCTTAAGAAGGCATTGCATTTAAGGCAAAATAAGGAGAAATCAAGAGACTAATTTTCTGTCCTCTTTTTTTTTTTCCCCCAGTTTGAACCAAAAGGAGTTTTGTGCCGAGAAGCAGTGAATGATTGTGATATTGCAGAGAACTGCACAGGAAACTCCAGTCAGGTGATTTTTATATCTTATATCCAGGAGACAAAAAAACCACCTATAGTCTTTCAATCATTATGAATGTTACTGTTTTGTATAGAAAGGTGTATGAAAATAGTATTAAACCTTCTAATACTGAAAAAACCAGCATGATACTGAAATACTTTTCCATATGACATTTGTTCCATGCATTGCTTCCATGCTTATCTGATTTACAATCTATTTGTTATTTTCTCTTTCTGTAGTGTTCTCCCAATATTCATAAAATGGATGGATATTCATGTGATAACAAGCAGGTAATTAGCATGTCTATTTGTTTTACATGCTTTCTGCTTTTATAGGTTGCTTTTTATAGATTTTAGTTTAAGATCTTTGAAAGTCACCTGGGACAGTTCTGCTGACATTCCTGAGTTTTGACTGCTAGTTATATTTTGGAGCTAAGCATTTAAATGAGCAGAAAGTCAAATCACTTATTAGTTGACTCAATAGAAAGCATGTGAAAATTCTGTACATTAAACAAATACATATTTTGGTAAATCACATTGTTTAAAACTTTTTCTGTATCTTTTCTTTCTTTCTAGGGTATTTGTTTTGGAGGGAGATGTAAAACCAGGGACCGGCAGTGTAAATATATCTGGGGTGAAAGTGAGTCAATGTTGTTGTTTTCAAGTTGGTTGTCGTTCATGTGGTTTTAAAGATTATCTTATCTGAGAAAAATTATGGAAGAGACATATTCAGAACTATTAAAAAACGCTAGGACTTTGTGTCCCCGTCCCTTTTCCCTTATTTTGTCTTTCCATCCTCTTTTCCAGCTCTTTCTCTAGTGTTGGTTAACTTACGGTGATTATTCTGAAGTCTTAGGTTTAATTTCTCATTCATAACAATCTAGGGAGCCTATACTCATATTTATTGATTTATTTCAGTGGTTTCTGGGTATTTTGGACCAATAAACTCTGGTCAGTCTGAACAAAATCTTTAAACAGCCCTGTGGTGCCAACGTAAAACTTTTCATTGAGAGCACTGTGCAGAGTTTCACAGGCCACCACAGACCATTGGTACTGCAGTTCACAGATTGGGAAGCTCTGCTTGCTATGATTATGCATTGCCATGTCGTAGGACCTGGCTTTTCATGATCTTAGAAGAGATTTTTTCTGGTTTTAGAAGTGACAGCTGCTGACAGGTACTGCTATGAGAAGCTGAATATTGAAGGGACTGAGAAAGGAAACTGTGGAAGAGACAAGGACTCTTGGATACAGTGCAATAAACAGTAAGTTGATCCATTTAGGAAAAAACTGGTGAGATTTTTATCCCTGATCCAGTTCTTTAGCTGGCATGAAGAAGCTCATAAGGCCTCTGTACAGAACAAACTTCTCCTGGCCTTCTTCTGCAGACCTTAGTGCGGGAAATTCTGGAGGGAGAGGAATGCCATTGCTGTGCTGTTGCATTGCTAAGTCGTGTTCAGTTTTCATTGTGTTGTAACCCTGCACATCTTTTCCTGCAAGTTGCTGCCTAAACCATTGTTTCACATTCTGTATTTATGCAGTCAATTATTTCTGCCTATTTCTGAACCTTTTGCCAGTCCTCATCAAACTGGTTTTTCAGATGAGTTCTCCATTCTGTCAGTGCCATTTGAATTCTAGTCCTGCCTACAGGTGAACTAATGTCCTTTCCCCCTTTTTATGTGCAGAATTGATAACCTTATCAGTAAAAAATAGTCGGTAATACAGGAGAGGCCAGACAGTGCAGAAGTCTCTGCACATGAGTTGTGAAGTCCCTTCAACAGTTGAATTAAGCGTGGTGTCTGTAGTTTCCTAACATATGTGTTGTATGAGAATTTGTTTAAAGCCAGTATCTACTGCTTCTCCTTTACAGGCCAGTTTTTGTGTCGTAATAGAATAATAAATCAATTTGATGTAGTTTGTTTGTGACAGCTCCCTGCTTTCTATCACACAGAGCATTTTTGATAATACATCTTAAAAAAGACTCTTTTCCCAGTCCAAGCTCTGAGGAGAATAATTTTCTTGGGAAACAAGGTATTATTTATGGGAGTTACTATTAGTAGGAGAAAAGCAAGGAATAACAAACATGTTACAAAGCAAGTAAAGAAAACAACATTTTTTTTTATTGCCCATTTTCACTAAATTTTCTTTTTAGTTAGTATCTGTTTATTCTCTCAATGCAGGGATGTGCTCTGTGGATACCTTCTGTGCTCCAATATATCCAGTGTGCCCAGACTTGGAGAACTTGATGGTGAAATCACATCATCAATCTTACAGTTTGGGAAAGTCTACAATTGCAGGTAATTGAAAATCCTGAAAACAGAACAGAGGCAATCAATATCCTTCGTGCATGGCAAAGCAGCTTTCTCATTCCTAAGTGGAGAACAACTGTTTCTATTAACATTTTTTTCCTATTAACACTTAACTATTATTCTAGCTCAACCTATGTTAAGCTGCAGGAACTTAACTGCATGTGGTGAGTGCAGCTGTTTTGCAGTCCCCTCTGTATAGCAGTTAATTTTAACTGTAGAAACGTAATGCTCTTCTCTGGCCTTTTATGTTCTTTAATGTTCGTGAGGTACTTAATGTACTCAAAATACTTAGGCATATGCCTGCACTGCCAAAACTAACTGGCAGCTTAATATGTTGCCATATGTTAGCTGAATCCCAATTACAGACCTGGTGTGTTCTCATAGCTTCACAAAACTGTAAGATGAAGCAAAAGTCCTACACAAGTAAACTCGATGTTTTATGCTAGCTCTTACACAGGAAAAGTGGTCTTTGTTTTCACCATTACATTTGTTTGATGTAGATATACTGTGTTTTGGTTTGTTTCACATTAGGGCTAGTGAGATAAACAAGCCAATAATTACTCTTTCCTGGTCTTGGGCATTATATAATGCAGACAGAAAAGAAGGCAGCAGCCTAGAGCCCAGTTTCTCAAGCAGTGCCATCTAATCATAACAAACATCTCTGGGGTTGTCTTGGTTGTCTTGCAGTGGTGGCCATGTGAAGCTTGATGAGGAAACAGACCTGGGCTATGTGGAGAACGGGACGCCATGCGGACCGAACATGGTGTGCCTTGATCATCGCTGCCTCCCCACCGAGGCCTTCAACTTCAGTACCTGCCCAGGCACCACAGACAGCCAAATTTGTTCAGGACATGGTGTATGTTCTTGTGCTCTTTAATCCTTTTTTCTGTTTTTGCTGAGTATCTGACTTTGTTTAGTGGCTTTGTGTAGGACTAGCTAGACCTTTTAGGAAGCCAGCAGTGTGGCTTTAGAAGTCTTTACGCTGGAGAAGCTTTTGAAGAGGAAAGGGGGAGGAGGCACATAAATAAACGTAATACATACCACTCAATACATCTTAAACGATGAGTCACAGTGAGTATGTAATAGTTTTGTAAAAAATTTATCAATCAGATCTTTTGCTATCACTTCTGCTAACTTGTTACTTCCTCAGACAATGCACTGGAGAATATAAAGGTTTAAGAATTGAGAAACTTGACTCTCTGTTCTTCCAGATGCTCTTTTTAATTCCCTCTGTATTATGTCAGCAGCCAAGAAGGTTCATAAAGGATTTTCTTGGCTGAGAGTTACTTTGCTGTAGAGGAGAGGACAGTGAGTCGACCCTTGGCAAGTGGCAGCTTCTCCTCTTGGTGCACAGCCTATGGCTTTGCTGTGGCCCTAGCAAGACCCTTTGTCCCTCTCACAGTTTGAAACAGTTTCCAGGTCCCTACAGCTGAGCTGAGATCAAAGGAGTTGTTCCCTCATAACATCTTTTGTCTTTTACACTGCATTAAATCTCCCTTTGTATCTGAAATTAACCACTTCATATTTTGAAAAAATAAAATCATTAAGGTTAAGAGTCTCCCAAAGCAATTATAAATGGCTCTATTAAGTATATATTACAATAAATTATATTAAGGTACTTAATACATCTGACATATATACATTTAATACATTTACATATAACTTATAAAATAAAAATTGCTGTATATTAAAAATGTTTTGCAAAATTTTGCAGGCAGTCAAAATCAGTGCTGTATGACTATCTATACTGTAGGTATTAATTACAGGAATATGTAATAATTTTATGATTTTATTCTGAGCTACACTTTTGTCTGCAGGTTTGTAGCAATGATATAAAGTGTGTCTGTGACCGATTCTGGGGAGGAGATGACTGCAGTTCTCGCATGAAAGATTATATGTTTTTTGATAAAGATGCCATCAATAAAGGTATGTTTTTATAATTTTTACTGATAACTGGAAAAGCTTGGTTTTGAGGAAGGTTCATTAAGCAAAACTAGATCTCCTACTCTTTTGGTTAGTATACAACATGATGCACCATTCGGAGCCTCATTCCCTTCCCTGCACAGCAGAAGCACTTGATGTCTGTGAATGAGGTCTCAGACCTGGGACTGGATATGAGCGTTGCCACTGACAAACACTCAGTGCACCTCGTGGGACTGGTACCAGTGTGTCTGGTTATACCTTGCTTGTCCCAGTCATCTGAGTGGCCTTATTCGGTATGTTGATAGATTAGGACAAGAAAAGAGTTACTAGGAATTGTCATATCTAGATGAAAAGGTAGTATTGCTTACATGATTTTTTATTTGTAGAGCCAAGTTGCAGTATATTGACATAGAAATTTTAGCCTTTTACATTTTTTTGAGTAAATGTTTTTATTGATCTTTAGGCTTGTATGCAAGAGAAAGATATATTGTGGAAAAATGAGCCTGTAAATGTTTTTCATTATAAATCCTTGGGGGAGCGGTGATAGTTTTACCATTTTCCAGAATGTATTTTCTTCATTAGTTTATTTAGCTATGGAAGGGATTTGAGCAAAAACAAACAATAAAGCCACTTTTATTCCCATGTAAGTGTGTATTTTCCAGGCAGGTTATAAGGATGTAAGCTACAGCAGTTTAATGTTGATAACATTATATTGGCATACCTGGCACAACTTTCCAATGTAGCAAGTGTTCAGTTGAGGGAAATGGATGCAGAGGTCAAAGCTTGATTTACAAATGATCTTTTTATGTCCATGCTATACTTCATGATTATGTCACTGGTTGCAATTAATCAGCCTGGTGCAAGTTGTCCAAGCAGGTTTTTGAAAGACAGTGTATTTACTCTTTTTGTATATTTTTGTCCTAAAACCCTTTCTTGTGTTTCCAGGTGTTGTTAGCACAAATATAATAATAGGGGCTATTGCTGGCACCATTTTAGTGTTGGCTCTCGTTTTAGGAATGACTGGTTGGGGTTACAAGTAAGTAAATTGTGTTGTTCTTAATACAGTTAAAATATGTTTATTTTATCTGATGGCTGATTATGTTATAAAAAGAACAATTCAAACATAATCTAAAAAATCCAAAATGGATTATATTTGTACATTAACATGTTTATAGTATTAGCACTTTTCAAGCAGTTGTTTCATGTGTATGTGGTTTTGGAGGGCTTGATCCAGGTTTGAAATTTATTTCTTAGTTAGTTAGTTATTTTCTTTTTTTCTTTCTTTTTTTTTCTTTTGGTAGATGATCAGATTATGATTTTACTGTATCTAGTAAAGGAAATACAAAAATACAGTCTGATTCAATTACAAATATTTCCTAATGATGAAGTAAATTTAGCAAGATTAGTCTTCAGTCAGTCAATAAAGCATTTAACCATAGGCTTCCTTAGATGTTTATATTCAGTCAGCTTAACCTGAAATTAATTCAAGCATGTTTTTCAGTAAGAAAGAGCGAGCTGTAATTTGCAGATAAGGTGTAAGTTCTCTCCTGGTGTAGAGCTGTCAGTGTTCCACTCACTGAAAGGCAAAATGGATTATTTTAGCCTGACTGATCGTTTAAAGTTTTTCTCTCCTTTTGTGAATTTCTAAAAGCAGAGGGTTTTAGTTTTTTGCATGCTTAAAAAAAAAATAAATATTCAAGTTACTTACTTTGTCACCTGTGTTTGGGCGAGACTGCTTCTTGAAGTCCTTCCTCCAAGGGTCCTTGGTGTGCTTGGAGGGCAGGGCAGGTTCTGTGGTGTCAGGGCAGTGCTGTAGCTGGGACATGACCCCAGCAGTTTGGCATAAAGAACTGGCACATCCCCTGCTGGTTGATTAGACTGAGGTAGGCTCAGAAATTCGTAACGAAACAAGTTTTGTGTTTTTTTGTTTTTTTTTTAAAAGAAGATTAGGATAGTAAAAAGGTAGGTTATGCTGTCCTTGTATATCTGGCAGTGTCTGAAAATCTGGACTTCTACTTTGAGTAAAACTTCAAAAGTTAAGGGCTCATTTTGAGGGATTAGTTCTTGGAGGTGGAGGGCAAGAGTGCACTTTTCACTCAGCTTCACAGTGAATAGATTTAAACTCGTCATGAACTGCACCTCTAATTCGGCACTGACTTTAGCTATCAACAGGAATATATTTTCCTTGTTTATTATGATTTAGTATGTTTGTGAGCATGTTTGTTTCAGAAGTGTTTTATGTAAAAATATTTTGAACAAAAATTTAATTCTGCATACATTGCTTTTCTCTTTAATTTTTCCTCTTACTGACAATGTATAGCTGCATACTGATAACTCATTCTTTCTTTCTTTTCTCTTTCTATGGAAAGAAACTACAGAAGACAGAGGTATGTGATAAAAGTAACGGAATGTGTCTCAGAAAGTTCTGAAAAGAGCTTTTCTTCTCTCTCATTTACATGCTATAAAGAAAATATAGAGATCACTATATTTTCTGTACAGAAAATACAGTGATGAATTATCACATTTTAAAGAATGTTTGCTTGAATATATGAAACTGGTATATATTCTATAAATGTGTTGCTTGAAATCCTTATTTCACCAGACTCAGTAGCAAAAATAATGTTTAATTCTGAAATAGACTGTTTTTTTAGGAAAACAGGAGAATATTTCCTATAAGAGAGACTGAAAATCTGCTGTTAGAGATGAAAGTGTTCTTGTGAGGCTGAGGATTGAATAATTCATATTAACATGATGTTCAGGAGCCTTTTGAGACAAATTCATTCCTGGAATTTCTTTGCTGTTAAAAATACAATGCAGTGAAATTGCTGTGCAAATGAAGAGCCCATTCTTTCCTGCCACCCTGCTTGATTGATTTGTAGCTAAAGCATAGTACTGTCTTCAGTACAGGGCTGAGCTTTCACCCTTTCAAGCTTGTGGCCAAAAACCAAACAGTTCCTTGTGACTGGGGTTTGGGTCCTGGAAGACCACCTTTCTTTGATCAGTCAGCTGCCTGGCAGATGGGTCTTCTGGGAAGGAGTTGGCTCCTTCCTCTCACAGTCCCCCCCAGATAAGAGGGTTTCTCAAATTCCCCTGTTTTGTGCCTGTATTGCTGCTTCCTGGTCCAAGCTGCTGCTTTGTTTGTTCCTGCTACCTGTTGTGCTGTTCTCCATTTCCACTACCTGTGTAGTGCTTTCTCTGCCAGGCTAAAAATACCTGCAAAAAGCAGAAAAGCTCTGCCAAGTGCTGGTTGAGTACTACAAGGTCAAATAGGTGGCAGGAACAGTAACAGGAAAAAGGTAAACCTATTGGGTCAAGGCCTGTGGAGAGGTTGATGGGTAGGAAATGTCACCTGGCACAAGGAAGGCAGAATTTCTGGGTTTGGTGCTGCCCAGTGGCATGCGCTATACCTGTAAGTGCAGGTAAACTTGGCCATCAAGTCACTCTAGTGTGGATGTATCGGTGTTGGCTGAGGGCAGAGCAGCCAAAACCTCCAAATACGGAAAGAGACCAGCTTTTTCCGTGTTTGCATTGGGATAATAGAGAATCTAACTTTTTCACATTGCCTCATCTCCAGAAGTTAGTAAATGGGCAGAGAGCTGTGAGTATGCAGTCAGTCTGCAGCTGTGTCTGTGGGCATATGTGGAGTGGAAACCAGCGTAAGCTGAGGCTTTTGAAGATGATGGACATATTTAGCAACTAAATCTCCTTCATGCAGAAAATGAAGTTCTTAGGCTGACTTCTAAATAGAATAATTTTGGATATGCACAAGGAGTGCTCCTGAAATGGAAAAAACCCAGACATCCATCAGGGTGTCCAGAGAGTAGTTTTTAAAAACTGTTTACGTTTACTCCTATAAAGATAAAAACAAGCCCTTATGGTATTTTTGACCATTGCATGAGGAATGATATTTGGTAGTACTAAGCAACTGAAATGAGTAAACTGAAAGTAATAAAAAGAGCAAATTAGCAAGGATTCTGGGAACTGGGATAGTGTGGCTTAAAGGGCACAGCTGCATGGGGAAGTGATTTATTTCTGACAGAGAGGGCAGTTTGCTGGAGGAAGCCTGGAGAGCAGAGCTGCCCACACTGAGTCAACTCCAAATACACCAATGTCCTGGTTGAGGAATGGAGACTTGCGAGATGCTAAAAGAAATCGTGTGGAACTACTGTGTTACACTAATGATTTATGTGCCATATAATTACATATTTTAAATACTTCAGGAGTATTAGAAATTCAGATACGGAATGAAGAAAGCCCAGTTCAGGTCTGCAGCTGGACACAATCTGAATGTGAATCAACCTTCTGGTACACACACATCTTAATAGGGGTGGACTGAAGCAAAAAGACCTTGGACAGTGTAAGGCTGCATAGATAATTAAGTTGCTGGTATTATGATATAGCCAACTTTCAAAGCAGCTACTTGTACTAGGTATAATTTTTCAACTTGGTGGAACTGTAACTGGAATATTTGCATGGCACTTTTTCTGCTGGCAATGAATTCCCATTTGCAAAGAAGCTGAATAACTTGATTAGGACTTTCTAATGCATAGATAGTTTTATACAGCATAACTGAGCTTCTTATATTGGAAAAGTGTAAACTATTGTCAGATACGTGTGGCATTATTTTTGTGTGTCTTGGCAGATTGAGTCTACTGTGGTAATCAGGAGTAGCTGAGAACCTCTGACCCTGGCCTTAGTTCCCCTGCACAAGGAAATTGTTAATAAACCGGAGGTTTTTTTCCTGAGGTTTAAACAACTCAACAGGTTGCTATGGTGGAATTCAGTAATGATCACAAAAATGAAATGGAAAGCATCTGTCTCAGAAGGAAAATAGTATTCACTTTTCCTGAACTCCTTTTTGATGCAGGCTTGCATTCAGCTCAGGCTGCAGCACTTGTACTGCACCTGGGGATGCTTTTCACAGCCAGTGCAATGAGCCGTTTGAAATGTCTTAACTTGGTTATCCAATGCCCCAAGAACCACAAATCACTCACTTTGAAAATTGCAATCAGAGCTTATCAGTGAAATGTTCCTTGATTTCCCTTACCTAAACCACATAATCCACTTTTCTGCACATATCAGAAGCATGCAGGAGTTTTCTCTCAGATGGTGGAATTGTTTATTAATAGGCTTATTGTGTTCGTGTATGGTCAGCAGGTTTCCTCAAGGATCACTGTCCTTGCCTCTTTCTTTTAAACTAATACTTGTGCATGTTTGTGTGCGTGCTTGCCCGTCATGTTTTCTGACTCTACGATGTTTATTATACTTTAGACAAATACCCCAGGGAGATTATGTAAAAAAGCCTGGAGAGGCCGACTCTTTTTATAGCGACATGCCTCCTGGAGTCAGCACAAACTCTGCGTCTAGTTCTAAGAAGAGGTCTGCTTTTCTGTCGCATTTTCAGATTTCTACCTGTTCCATCACCCATTATTCCATTAGTCAGAACATTTCATTGTTTTGCAGCAGGTTTGATTCTTTCTTCTTTCTTTGTGGAATGTTTGAAATAGCATCCTTTATGCTTTGATTACTGATTTTTCTCATGACCTGAGCTGCTAATTATTACAAATAGGCCAGAATAAACAAGGTTTCCCTTCTAAACCAATTTCTGATAATCAGATTTTCATCATCTCCCTGCTTGAGAATTGTTTTCAAGTAGACTGTAATAATAATTGCTGGCTCAAAAAATTTAAATAAAAATACCACAATTTTAAAAATCATTGTCATGTAATCAAAGAAAAGGAACACTGTCTTGCTTCGATAATAGTTATATACATAAACCGTTCAATATAAATGTTATTTTTACACCTTTATTTGTCAATCTCATTAATTACTGAGTTGACCTAGACTTTTGGATAATA